ATATATATATATATATTCTCACAGAGTGACATTTAAAATACTACCCCTGGCGAAAAGTGTTTCGATCAAACGCACGCATGTACTTGGACACATTTGAAAACATTGAGGTCTTTCAGGTGCAAAATATCGTTCCATTTGCTTGAAACATATAGAAAAATGGGATTAGCGATTTCAATTGAGTTCTCCTACATGAAAGGTTCCAATGTTTTCAAATACTTTCGATCACTTGCGTTCGATCGAAAATTCCTGCTAAACTTCAACTCGGTTTAAAAATGAATTTGTCGAAAAATTTAGATACGAAGTCGCAAAGACATTCGAGTAAATAAGTTTTGTGCTTTATACGTATTTACGATATTCGTGTAAATTCGATGAAAACAATTTGAGAAATACAAAGATATTGAAATAAAGCATACAAACATGTGAGACATTGCTTATCTTTCATGTGTTTCGATGAACTGTATCGATTGATGTATTATGTTGCAACAAGTAACAATAGCGACGTAAATCAACTGTCAAATGTCATGATAAAATCAAGTGAAATATCCTGTTTACATCACAGTCATTTAAACCAGTAATACCAATGTATTTAAAGAACAAAAAAGAAAAAGATAGAAGGATATTTATATAAATCGATCTGTGCATTTAAAACAAAGTATCCAAAATACATTTAAAAGATGGAAAAAAAAGAATGGACTGTGAAAGCAATGTATCCAAATAATTGAAGAGGGAAATTACCTCATTCATCATACACGTTCAAAGTGAAACGTAAATTTAATCCATCTAAAAAGATTTAAAAAGGTAATCAGAAAAATATTTAACTATATCACTCGTCGACTGTAAAAAACAACATGACAGCGTAAACTATCGATCCATCAAAGTGCGAAAAACAGAAAAAGAGAAAAAGATTCGAAAAAGAAATTGAGAAAGGAAATATTCAGCTCTATTGCCCCTTGGAAACTGTTTTAATTAGCAGGAAGTTACTTTTAACAGCTCGTCCGATAAACGATAGAGGCAGCCAATTTGATTATGAAAATTTGCAATAACGCGGGTCGCCGCGACGTCCCCTCTGTAACTTTGCAACCATTCACAGTAGCTAGTGACGGCGGAAGCCACTTTCCAATAAACTTTCCATCCGTTACGTGGTGCTCGTTAGTGGATGTCCAATAACCGGACATCCTCGGGCAATATATCGAGTTTGTACGGCACGAATGTCTCCAGACGAGATCCTCGAAGCTACGTCGTTGTAACTCGGGCGCGACCTACGCGCTTTCAACATTGATCTTCAACCTTGGCTCCGCTTTGTGCAACCTGATATTGCCGTACGGAGAATGTCCTAAAAGAGAACGTATATAGGCGAGTGCTTCGAGTGCACGTACGAACATTTCACCACCCCTTTGACGAATATCTGACGTGCACTTAAGAGTTGAACGGCGAGACTTTCCGAGTAAAAAAGAAAGAAAGAAAAAAAAAGAAAGGTATCCACTCGAAAAACGACGCATTTTCGTCGCTACAAAAGATCCAGCTTTCAGGCTGGGTTACCAGGCTGGTGTTCCGTTCTCTTTAACGAGCCGTCGTTTTCGGCTAATGGTTCGTCGTGCAGTTGGGAAATACGAGTTCTTTCGACGATGACTCGGAGGTCACGGTCGTGCCGCCACGTGCCCCGAGTTTCGCTAAATTCTAGAAGTCAGAATCTAGGTCTGACTTAATATAGTATACACTACGTATTTTATACGATGAGCTCGTATAAAAAAAAAAAAAAATGCTAGTCTCCTTGTTTCCTAATCTAAATATAAATTAGGTACGTAGTAAAGCAAGATTCGTATTTTCGTGGAGGATTTGGTTCCTAAAAGATTCAACTTTCTCGAATTAAGTTGATATCGTTGGATTATATTATAGATTATGCTGTAATGGTATTGTGTTCTACGTTCTCTTCAATGGAAATTTTTATAACTCTTACCATGATGTGATAGATTGTAGAGATTAAATATAAATAATATTTTTTTAATAATAATGCTGGTGATCAAACAAGGTAATGAATGTAAATTAACAATATATATATATATA